ACAAGCGAAACCCGGACTGGAAAGCATATTAAAGACGAGCACATTGACCTACATATTGACGATGATGAACTTTCCATCCCAATCGAACATACTACCGCAGCCCACAAACTTCTTCTATGGCCATCCATCCAGAAACTACTACCTGAACGAATTGATGCGGACTATGTCATGGAATTAGAAGAGGAACGAGGACCTATCAGACCTTATGGACGGGGTGAAGGTGAAGATGGACACGATATTAGCGTTTATCCTTACAGTCCAAAACTCCGATCTCCCAGCCCTCGAGAAGATGAAACCTACCAAACCCGCTCTCCGGGCACTGGATATGGTACTGGGCTAGAAATTTACCAATCCAACCCTACCCTGCGTGTCCCAAAAGAGCGTCAGGTAGGCGGCCTCAATGCATCTGGCGTCCTTAACCTTGATGCAGACGTTATTGAGATGCACCGCCAAAGCTACCTTCAGAACATGCACATTCTGCACCCTATACTTGCTCAAGACAGCCTGAACATCATGATTACGAACTTCATCAGGACGTATAGCCCCCAGTCTAAATCTATGCCAACCCCACTAGCGTTACGAGCGGATCCGGCATCTGGGGTTCACAGAGTTCAAAAACGAAAGCGATCTATTGACATGACTGACGGATACCCTGACTCTCCAGTCTCAGACAGCTTTTCTCCTCACGCTGGCCATGAAATTCAACGTTCCCTTGATAATGCAATTGTTTTATTGGTGCTAGCTCTAGGCTCGATATGCGGATATAAGGGGCCTATTCCAGGGCCAGTACGCCACGTACCGGCTGGCCCCTTCACACCTGTGATGGCAGACCACTCTCTAGCGTCATCAACCTCTCCGCCTGAGAGTATGCCTTTTGCAAACCACCATAGACGATTTTCCACACAGTCAACCCATGTTGGCCCAGACCCGCCCGATATTAGGAATATGGACGTCATTCCTGGAATGGCATATTATGCACTTGCTTCAGACATTCTAGGCAATTTACATGGAGGTAATGATTTAGCACTTGCTCAGGCCTGCCTCCTAGCGGCCCTTTATACGGGACAGCTTGCACATCCATTTTCAAGTCATGGATGGATTTACCAAGCAGCCCGTGCCTGTCAGGTTTTGGTTCGACCGTAAGTATCCCATTTGCCGTATCCTCTCCCCTTCGTCAGAATCGGCCGTAGCTCACCCTAATGTTAGGCGAAAATATGACTGTATGCCCGAAGGCCCGAGGAAAGATTTGATATGCCTAGTCTTTTGGACCTGTCTACAGCTTGAGAGGTAGGGATGAATTAATAGCACAGGTATAACTAGAGAAAAAGGCACGGAACTAATATACCTGCAAAACAGTGATATACTAGCAGAACTTGACCTGCCAGCGAGCGGAATAAGCCGGCTAGAAGGGCGAATGAACTTTCCCCGAGGAGTCTTTGCCCATACCATTCCAAATGAGATACACGCACCCAATACTATGATGATGATGTATTACCTTGTGCAAATTCATCTTCGAAAAGTTCTTAACAGGATCCATACCGACCTATATAAGGCTGAAAGTAAGACATCAACCGCACTTCTATCCCCTGTCAAAGCTTGATAGCTAACCGTCGTCCTATCATAGAGCAAGGAGGTGAAAAGGCCCGCTGGTCGACCAAGATCCAAGAGGCCCTAAGCTTCAACCTTGAGCAATGGCGCAGTGGTCTTCCTGAGTACATGCGTTGGGAAGATTCTGACCCACCGGCAAAAGATATCAACACTGCACGGATGCGCGGGAAATACTATGGCGCCAAATACCTCATCCACCGACCTTTGCTTCACCATGCCCTGCACCCAATGGCCCCTAAGCCCCGCAACCCTGTCCCTGCTTCATCCCCTGCACAGTCTACCGTCTCCAGCTCCCAGTCTCAAGTGTCTCCATCGCTTTCTCACGTCCATCAGGCAGAGAAAATGGAGCGATACACAAGCGAGATGGGCCCGCCAGTCCGGACGCCATCAAACGACCCGCAGCCACCGTTACTGAGCGACTTGGAACCTAAGGTTTTCGATGCATGCATGGTCTGCATTAACGCGGCTATGAATAGCACTGTTGCGTTCGATGGAGTAGAAGGCCGCCCCATAGTCACCAATATCTTTGGAACTGCTCATGCGTATGTTGCTTGTCACTACCTCTTCACTATGAGTTGTCACACTAATTTTGATTCTACAATAGTCAATTCGGCAATATGCTTGTCCTCTCAGCAACATATACATCTCAACTCTCTGCCCTTGTCGACGGCGACAAACTTTGTGCTCTACTCGATCGAACCATCAAATTCCTTCTACGAAGCAGACACATCTCTCCCACCTTGCGGAAAGACGCAGAGATATTAACCTTGATAAGGCGCAAACTATTCGAACAAAACCCCCAGCCGCAGCCGCAGCCGCAGCCGCAGTCGACACAAACCGGAAGCTTCTCCAACGACCGATGATTCACTCGTCAATAATCCGTCGAACATATATATACAAATACCTCCGAACCAACTTCTCATTCGTTTTATGTGTTTCTACCTATACTTCTTTGTTTCCATACTTTCCCCCCAAACTTCATCATTTGTTTACATCTCTACTGCATTTGATGCATTGTTTCAATCTATGCTCAATACCGTTTTGGCGTGGGTGGCAAGTCGTCTTTTGCATTATTGTTATTTTCCATTTTATTTTCTTGGTCATTCATCATTTTCTCTCTTTTCCTTTCTACTGTCAATTATTTCGCTTCTCACAAGCTTGAAATAACTCACTGGGGGCTCCTTTTTTACGCTGATGTCATGCCTATATCTATTTTAAATATTTATATCCCTTTCCCCATATGTTTGTATATTTTTATGCTCATTGTTTTCCCCCCTCCCTCTTTACGTTACCTATACGTCTCTTTACTTTTGTTTGGTTATCTGCTATGCTCCATTTTGGCCATACATTCTGTAAACAGCTCGCGAGTCGCCTATGAGTGAAGTGAATGTTTGGTGGTAATGTAAGGATTATGAAAGATTGACGTGGTCTCCTAATTCATTATATTAATTGATAGGCTACAAAATGATGGCAAAGATATAACATCAGTGCAATTTTGCAATTCTTTTGTGGTTGCTTCGTGGAAGGAGACATTTATATATATTCCTCATCTGTTGTTGTATAGGCTTAAACATGCCCAGGGTAAATAATGGGACACAAGGATGATATCCAGCTGTCAAGGCCATGGCAATCAGTTTTACCTCCTATGTATCAAAACTCCTTGGCTTCGGCCTAGTTACTTTCTAGATAGTTGCCGTGGGTATATAGCTCTGCAGCATTCTAGTTCACGGAAATCTCCAGAAAAGTATACAATAATGGGTATAAATAGTGGAATGAACGTAAACATCTAGATTACTTTCCACATCCTTTTCCTCTTTGCCATTATTGCATCCAACCGTCGTCAACGATCTTGATTGAGTACTTTGGGGCGCGTCAGGGCTCAGGCAAAGTTAGCAGAGAGAGTATATGCAAGTTAAAACGTCGGTACGTGTAATAGTTTTGCTTGAAGCATACAAAGGTCCAACTAATTCTAGTCAGGGCACCAGCCAAAGCAGAACAACCATGCCACACTCCCAATATTTTCAGAAGCGCGATCCCAACTTCCAGCACAACGATAATAACTCTTTACGAATTGAATTCGGACGTCTTGCCAACCGTCAGGGCTGGACTAAGAAGAACCAGAAATATCCGCGCCAGTGGGAAAAGTGCCTTAGGGAAGAGTTTGAATACCATGTTTATCAGGTTGTAGACGAACATGGTGACAAACTTTCCAACTTGAAACTGTTGTGTGAGAGATATTTGAACAAAACCCCGGCGTCCATCGTGGCATGTAAGAAGGTAAGAACTCCTATCCATCGAGATGTATTCAAGCTTCTCATAAGAATAACCGCTGGTTATATGCGTGAGATAAGCTGATGCCAATATAGGCACTTAGACGCGTCCATATTAATTTGGTGGACTGGATCGAGAGCCAGCGCCGTGGTGACGAGCCGCATCTTTTCCGCTCAGAAAAACATCTGCAGTATTACACCCGAGAACACAAAAAATATTTTCCAAAGAAGATCCTTGACGATCTCTCTATTATGAAAGTCTTCCTGAGGGATATCTGAAGCCATTTCCAGAGGTGGTTGCTCATAGAATCCTAGAATCCTTAGAGGCCAATGGCACTGGAAGAGCATTTAGAGTACTCCGCAGTAAACCAGTTAGCTTTGCGATTACCTTGTCCTGAGAAACGAAAAAGAGATATAGTAGTAAAACGCCCATCACAGGTCATCCAAAGATTATAGTAGCTAAGGCCGAGGGGTATCAAATTGTTGTTTGCTGCAGCCAAAATTGACCAAAATTGACCAAAATTGAACGGAGGCTCCCCTGGGCAGCTGGGCAGGGGATAGCATCACGTGATGCTTGTTGTCGGCGAACTTCCAAAGCTCGAAAGAGAAACTTCGACGTCGTCCCATGGTTCGAAGGCCAGGACAACCTTTGGGAAACGCTGCCGTGGCTCGCTGAGTCGGAGTCGGACGAGAAAGCGAGAGTCAGGGGACGCCTCGGGGGCGTCATCTTGTTAACGTTAGTTATAGTTACCGAGGTTCAACAGTGGGATCGATCGACCTCGTATTAACTAACGATTGCTGGACGACGGGAAGATGTCAGTCAACCCCAGAGTACACTCTGCACAAACAGCCCGAGGACGGTGCGGTGGCTGGAGGTGTCTATCTTGGGAATTGATGGGGACCGGAAAGAATTACCATGTACAGCAAAGAACAATCTCGACAGTATATGGATAGAAGCTCGCATCTTCAACAGGACAGGTGGTGTAACCAAGGAGCCGTTTCGACACGCAGACCTGGTCGGCCGACTAGAGTCGAAGCTTGACTTTCGAGGTTTGGCTGGTTGGTTAACTAACTAGTTAGCTAACCAGCTACTTTCTCCGTATTTGCGGGAAGGCGATGAGCATGTGCTTTGGGGGAACCGGTGGAGCACATGTCGAGGCGTATATAGAGCTTTTGTCTGCTGCTCGACGAAGGGAAGTTAAGTTGCTTCAACCTGCCAGGCCTGTTGGCGACCGTCAGTAAGATAGACACCATGAGCATCTCACCCCATAAAGGATGGCTGCCGCGTGAAGGTACGAAGCAGGCTCTCGCTCCAAGCAAAATGGCCACTTAGTGGCACAGTCAACTAACAGGAACTCAGGCTTCACGGCGGATGTCATTGGGCGCATTCTGTCCTCGACTGTTCTCGCACCGCAAGCAACGATACCGCTACTGTTATTCGCTGGGTACACCTCCCAGGGAAGAAGCTTGATTGCTGACCGGCCTGGTGTGTTTACTGCACTGAAAGCGCTGGCCTCAATTGGCCTGCTCAGGATCGTCAATGGGTTCCTAAACCGTCGAGCCTTGAACAACTGGGCGTCTGACGAGTTTGTCTGGAGACGTGAGATTGCCTTGGTAACCGGAGGAAGTGATGGAATCGGACAGCGGATTGCCCTTCTGCTTGCTCGACGTGGCCTCAAGGTTGTGGTTCTTGACGTACAGGAGCCTAAATACCATACACCACCAAACGTCACTTTCTATAAGTGTGACATTACCTCCTCTGCGGCCGTTGCAGAGACAGCAGCGGCAATCCGTGCAGACATTGGCGAACCAACTATCATCGTTAACAATGCCGGCATCCTGAGAACACGACCTTTACTCAAAAGCACAGAGGCTGAGACGAGGCTCGCTTTCGAGGTGAACACACTCTCGCACTATGTAATGGCGCGGGAGTTCCTACCAAGCTTGATCCGCCACAACCACGGGATGCTGGTGACCGTTGCCTCGCAAGCTTCGCACGTTGCATGTGCCAGCATGGTTGACTATGCCGGGACTAAGGCCGCAGCACTAGCTTTCCATGAAGGCATTGCCTCCGAGTTGAAGATACGGTACAAGGCCCCCAGGATACGTACTGTGGTGATTGAACCGGGATTCTGCAAGACCAGCCTTATAGACGGCATGTCATCTGAAGATACATGGTTCCATCCACTTCTTCACCCTGACACGGTGGCGGAGCGGACGGTTGAACAGATACTGACAGGATCAAGCGGAAGGGTTATACTGCCCGGCTCTACTGGGTTCTTTGCTGAGAACATACACTCCTTGCCCTTCTGGCTTCAGAATTTCATCAGGGATAGATGCGAAATGTCAACACGGACGAGTCACTGCACTTGACCGGGAGATCAGCTAGCTTTATACACTTTGGATGAATTTGTTTCCCTTTTGGCTGTTTGCCTTTCTTGTATATACTTTGGTTCTTTTGATAGTTGGTTATGCCTCACGACGCTTCTGAATTGGTAGGATAATCTCAGCGCACACTGCGACTCTCTCTTACCAACTTCCTGTCTACGTGCCCCTCCCTCCATATCCAAGTAGACAAGTGCCCGAATACTTGCATGCTCATTCACATCCTAGTGGCAACAACCACCCTGCCCGTTATCCAGGTCATGTGCAACGTGCAGCATGAAAAAAGAGTGCGACCTTCAGCGCAATACGCAAGCTTGATTCTTCTGCCTAACTAACTACTTCACGACTCCACGACTCCACGGCCATCTTCCATCATCGTCTTCTCCTACGCCATCTGCGCGTCATCTCTTTTAGTGGCCGATGATTTGAGAAGGATGTCTTATTTGACTGCTGTACTATTATCACGACCACTGCGACGTTTAACGACCTGACGACCCGGAACGAACCTTTACGACCGCATACGACTCTCTTACCTATAAAAACGACGAAGACTCTACTTAATAACTATATCAACCACACCCAACGGCTGCTTGAACTGAAGACCTTTTCATTTACGGCTTCCAGCGCTCTTCTGCTCAGCGTCTTCCAGTGAAACTGCTGGGACAACCTCTTGATCTGTGTGCTGCTTTTCGCCTTCCGGTTGGGATCGATCGCAGCAGCGCCACCTAGCTTCACCCCCTGCCGGGCTATCGCGGGCAGCCAACCACGGTTTCTTCCCGGGGCTCAGCCGTGGGTCAGGAAGGTCTTGTTTACCGTTTTACCAGCCACCAGACAACCAGCTTTGCTAGCCGGGTAAACAAAACACCCAGCAGAAAACGACGGCCTCTTCTCTCGCGGACTCCCTCGCTCTCACCACACACCCGCCAACCGACCTACCAACCCACACTCCTTTTCTCCAGGCTGTCTCGTCCAGTGGCCGGCCCCAATTCACGAGCAAGATGTTTAAGAGTCTTCTGGGAACCCAGTCGAGCACTCGATCGTCTGACTCGAGCCGCCATAGACATCGTCGAGATCGCGACGACGACGACGACAGCCGTTCGAAATCCTCATCACACTCTCACCATCGTAAATCGTCTCGCCATCATTCGTCTTCCTCGAAGCACAAGTCCTCACGAAGTGACGATCGTGACGCGGACAGGCATTCGAGCTCAAGACGGTCCTCGAGACGGCATGACGACGAGGACGATGGCGCACGTTCTATCATTGCTCCTAGCGAGATAGCGTCTGAAGCTCCGTCGCGGACGCTGGATGGTGAGAGGAGCACTTTTGGCGATGACCCTAATGACCATTATAAAGAGAGAAGGGCTCGCAGAAGAGGTCATGGTGATGACGATTCGATGCTGGACCAGGACTCGCGAGATCCACGGCGTCGCGAGAGGGAGACATACCCGGAGGAGCTGAGATATCGTGATGATGCTCCTTCCGCGGTAGACTCTGACTTACGAGATTCTTCACGTCGTGATAGAGATTTATATTGGGGTGAACCGCGACAACGCTCGCGAGATCGATATAACGATGACGACAGACGAAGCAGAAGCAGTCGTCGATATGATGAACCAAATGCTGATGATAGATACGAACCAGCTACTCGCTCGGAACGACGCAGCAGGACTCTAGATGACCGAGCCATCCCCGAAGGCCAACGGCCAATTGAACCCGCGGGCCGCCGTAGAACTGCAGCTTCTGGCCCTGAGAGCTCGCGGTCTCCCTTGTACACTACTGATACCACCTATCCGCTGCCTACAACTTCAGGTCCTGAGAATATACCTCAATCATCGTATGGTTATCCTCCACCTACATCGGGCTCCTATCCCCCTGCAGATAGTTCTCAGCAACCGCCTTTGATAGGTTCAGCGGCCGAATATTATGGAGACCAGGGCCAGTCGGTTCCGAATCAACCAGGATTCACACCCAGTGCTATCTCACCTTCCGGGCCTGAATACGCTCCTCCTTCAATGCCAATACCCCAATTTGATCAGCACGAAGCTGGACCATCCGGACCACCGCCTCAGCATGGCACTGGCACTGCGGCACTGGGCGGTATGGCCGCCGGGGCAGCTGGCTACGGAATAAATTCAGCCATGTCTGGAGGATCACCTTCCAGCGGACCCCCAAACACATCACCAACTATGCCAGGAAGCATGCCGGCCGATATGCCCTCCAACTCGCTGCCTAATGCACCATCTGGACACCCGGATGACCGGCCTCAACACCATTCGTCTTCATCGCACGGGGGCCTTGCCGCCCTTGGAGCGACGGCAGGCATTGCGGCTGCAGCAGGTCTAGCAGCAAATGCTTATCACAATTCACACCACAATTCACACGGTAACCACCAGCAAACACCGTACTCTCACAGCCAACAACAGAATTATAATGGAGGCTTTCAACAGGGAAATCTTGCCTATCAAAGACGCCAACAAGGCCCCCTAAGAAAGTTCGTTGACTTTTGGCGAGATCCTGAAGGCGTGGCACTGTACGAAGAATACTCTGAAATCACTGGAACCTGTAGGTACTGCTTCGAGCCAGGAACGACCTCTCGAGATGCGCCACGCAAGCATAATCGATATCGCCGGAGGCCATCCAATGACAGCTTTGGCGGCCGATCCAGAGTCGATAAGTTGAGCCGATATGGTTCCTCTGAAGAAGAAGGCCATCACAAGAGCTCGAACCGCAAGTCTTGGTTGGCTGCTGGCCTGGCTGCATATGTAGGCAAGTCTCTCTGGGACAAGGGGAAGAAGGACCGCCGTGATCGCTCTCCATCCATTCGACGCCCAAAATCATCGTCCTCCTCAAGCGTGGGAGGGAGGGGAGCAACTTCTTATGGGCAGACTACTGTCTCGGAATATTCTCATCCACAGTCTACAATTGGTGGTGGACAGAAACTAGACAGATATGATTCCCGGAGTGATGTTTCCAAGCCGTCCATATCAGCCCATTCAAGATCTAAATCTGAAGGACACCGACGCCGGGATCGATCAAGGTCATCATCAAGTGATAGCAAGTCTGGCAGATCTGGCCTGAAGACTGCCGCCATTGCAGCCGGTGCACTAGGTACTGCTGCAGCCATGTCATCAGCCAGCCATGCGCGTAAAGAGAGACGGGTACGTGCTGGCAACCGGAGCAGGTCACCTAGAAAATCTCGAAGACGTTACTCTTCCTCTTCTAGTTCCTCGATGATTGATATCTCTCGCCCTTCGGCCAACAAGGGCCTGGCAAGCTTTTCAAACTTCTTTAGTGCACCATCAGAGAAGAGCCGAATGGGCCGAACCGGCCCGCGCAGGAAACAGCGGAACTTGTTTGGCCTTGGATCAACATATTCATCTTCGGATGATGCTGACCTTGCGTTTGGTTCTGGCTTTCTTAAGTCGCGGACTTCAAAAAAAGGGAAAGGCCGGAAGCGGGACGAGGATATCGATCATAAGCTTATAGGCCTGGGTGCCACTGCTGCTGGGCTTGCAGCTTCAGCATCAATTGCAAACGGGAGAAGGCATCATGGCCTGATTGCAGTCAAGGAGCGAAAATCCAAACACGAAGCACCTGCTGACAATGTTTGGGAATCTGTGTCCGATGAATCATCCTCTGCTGATTCTGGCCTGGCATATGGAGGGCCATCATCTAACAGCCGAGATTCCTTTACATCTGACTCTGGAACTTCAAAGTGGCGATGGCGATGGGGTTCTTCAAAGAAGAAGAAGAAGGTATCGCAACCCTTGGAATACCCCAATAAACAGGATGGCTATGGACGAAATTCCCAGGCCTCGTTTGCTCCACCATCTAGTACCTACAGCCTCCCGTCCATGCAGAATGTCGACCCTATCCCAGCTTCTGAACAATCGTTGACGCCGTACCGCGATGGACGCAATTCAACTGGTGGCCCGTCAGCTTTTGACACAACCAAGCCAATGCTCATTTCTCACTCCGAGAATACGGAACTTGGCCAGCCAAAGCCAGTAGCCCCCATATCTGACTCGTTCTACACCCGGGGGGACTATGAAACCGAAAAGCCCAAGCCTATCTTCAAGGAAATTGCCCCTGCTGTGGCAGGTGCTGTGGCGGGCGCGGCGTTGATAGGGACAGCCCATGAGTACTACAATGACCACCCCTTAAAGGATTCCAAGGGACCTGCTACAGCTGATGTATCCAAGCCCAAGGATATATCGTCAGCCCAGAGTAATCGAGAGCAACACGACTCCTACAGTGATGCAGGCCCAGTACAGCATCGACAGAATCAAATTATGCCACCCCCGCCTGCTTCGTTACCAGGTAAATTCGACCAAGGGCCGCTGGCGGACGATGTGAAAGTGGACCGCTCTAGAAAAGCAAGGGATGATAGCGACATATCTACGAAGAAAGCAGAACGAAGAAGAAGAAACTCTTCCCCTGCCTTGGAAGACCACTACACCTATGTCACCCCATCAGATCTATCTAAGCGCAGCTCCGCAGGAAAAGGCGTCCATTTTGACTTGACCAAGGAGCAGCAAGACAAGGAGATGCGCCAGCTAGAGCTGGAAGGTGAAAAAGCGGCCAGACGCTACCAGCGAGATGAAGAACCAGCGTCGGATCCAGAGAGCCGGATATCCAAGTCTAAACGACTTCATCGTCCGGAGATTTCCCCGCCACTTCCTGATGAAAAGTTTGAGGAGCCTCTTAGTGACAAGGACGCAGAATCATGGTCTATGCCTGCTAGGGTTGCCTTTCCTGTCCTCTCCGGTGCTGCCGCTGTTGCGGCTGATCGCATAATTGATGAAAAGAAGCGTAAAAGGGAAGAGCGCCGCAAAGAACGCCGCGGCTATTCTGAATCTGAGGCTGGATCGTCAGCCGTCTCCAGACAGCGATTTGATTCGCCTGACCGCCGCTTCGTTGAGGAACCCGGAGAACTAACTGAGAAGCCGCTTCCAAACCCAAAGACCAAGCCAACTTATGAGAACTATGCGACTTATTTCGCACCTCCAGAGCTTCGCCGTGAATCCAGCGCAGAGTCAGCCCCTGAATCAACGCCAGCACCCAAACCCGGCGCAACCAAATTTCGTGTTATAGAGCCTCGATCTAGCCCACTTGATACCGAGCTGACGAGGGCTGAATCAACCAAGCCCACAAACCTGCCCTGGCCAGTTCCTCACCTGAACCTCATTGAGCCTACGCCACCTCAGAGTAGGACTGGTTCTGTTCTGAGCCATAGTGGTGAGACAAAGGACCTCCCAGTTGCCGACCCAATTGTGACTGTCCCCGAACAAGCTGCTGCTCAGGAAGATCGGGATGATACCTATAATAGTGTACGGAATAAAAAAGCTGGACATATTGCAACCTCCGAAACCCCTCTTCCTGGTGTTCCTGGAGCGGCAAAGAAACTGAGCAGTGATGGGGATATGGAAGTTATCCCTTCCAAGGCCAGGACCCGAGAACTCCCACCGAGCCCCGAAATTCCTTCGCCGCCTCACCATATGCCTGGTGAGTTTGGGGATGACATCGATTTTGCTGCTACACTCGCTGCCGGCACAGCTATGTCAGGGTTTGACCCCTCTATTGTCACCGACAATCCCGCTTATCATCGCCGTGCCTCACCTCCTAGGTCAGAGGGCGGTCATAGGGATATGCATAAGGAAACTCCAGTATCCTATGTCCATCACGTTTCTGAGCGGGAGCCACTTCCGCTAGTCAGTAAGGAGGAAGTGCAGGCTGTCCCTGCCCGTCAAATAGAAGAAACTACGAGTGAAGCCGGCAAAGGTACCTTTGCTCGAGACATGCAAGATCTGCCATCTAAAGATGCCGACAGCTCTCCACCCGAACCCACAGCTGCAAAGCTCAGCAAGAAAGACAGGAAGAAACAGAAGGCTGCGCAGAAGAAGAGCAGGGATGCTGGCGAGAAGGACCTTGAACTAGATTGGGAAGAACAGCCTGCGATTACTCCATCAAAGTCTACTGAAGCTGACCGAAAAGTAAGGTCTGACAACATTAACGAGCCAAAGGCTGCCAGTCGAGATTTGTTTGATGTAGATGATAAACAGAATAAGGCCTATCGTGACCTTTCTTCCAAGGGAATGGTAAATGAGCGTGAAGAAGTGCCTGGAAATGAAAGAGAGACATGGCAAGATGCAGCGGAGGATATAAGGCCTCGCGACAGCTCGACTAAGCCAGTGGACATAAGCTCTCCAGCTCGCGAGTTCGGCGGTCAATTACCGGATAATAATCCCCGTGCTTCAATGCCAGGGAATTTTGAGGATGTATGGGCTGATATAGGTCCTGTTGGTGGAAAGGATAAGCCCTCTGTTCCTGCAGACAAGGGTCCAGCGGACGAACCTGAACTTGCAACTGCTGAGAAATCCAAGAAGAAATCAAAAGGGAAGAGCAAACAGGGAGCTGATGAACCTAGCCCTGTCGCAAGCGAGACAGTAGGACCTTCTACGCGTGAAATTGAGATAGACGAACCCGTTGATCGGAACGTCGAGTCTGGCACTGCCACGTCTGTTCCCGACGTTGCTGGGCTAGAAAGGGGGAAGTCCAAATCAAAGCGGCGCTCAAAACGATATGCTGAACTCATCGATTCCCGGTCAGAGGTTGGCGACACCTCCAAGCCAGATGACGACAATGTATCCGTAGTCTCTCGGGCTAAGTCAGAGGCAGCAAAGGATTCCGCAAAGGGTAGTGATAAGTCTCGGGGTTTCTTTGGACTATTCGGCTCTTCTTCATCTGCGGACAAAAAGAGTTCCACGCGCGAAAGGGACCGATCACCTCCGCCATCAGAAGTTTCAACTAGCTCAAAGAAGAAGAAAAAGTCGAAGAAAGATCGCCATGCCGATGAAGATGCCATCAATGCCGACGACAATGACTTGCCGGCATCACGAGATATTGAACCAGTAAACGCAGATGACGCAGATAATGACAATCAACAAAGGCAGAAAAGTAAAGATCGGAAGAAAGACCGTAAAAATCGATATGAGCAGATAGTCGAATCTGGAAAAGCAAGTGATGATGAAGTATGTAACTACTAATAGGTTCTTTTTTTCTCTTAATAATGCCATTCTTTCCCTCTTTGCTGACAGGAACTCTCAGGACAAGAATCGATATGATACCAGTAGACAAGCAAAGAACGACACTCTAGGCAAAGAGCAGCCCTCCGGGCCTTTTTTAGATGATAGCCCGGGAATAACTTCTGTGCCTGCTGCTCCTTTGAAGCAAGCTCCCGCTGCCGCTGCTGAGAAAGCATTTGATAGCGTCTCGGCCCCAATATCTACCTTTCCTCTGCCGCTAAACCTGCCGTCTCGTGGCCGAAGCCGTTCTGTTACTCCCTTGCCTGGGGAGAAAATAGTTGATTTGCCTACACAGTCTCATAGCAGACCTTCATCCCGGTCACGATCCCCCCCTGGTACCGCAAAGCGAATATCATGGCGGGGAGGGTTCAATTTTGGAGACCCGAACAGCTCCCCCACTGCAATTCCCATTCAGCTCCGCCGACCACCATCAACCCCTGATAGAGGAGCTCATGATGGCCAGGTTTCTCCGAGCAGGCCTAAATCTGGACACAAGCGACCAAAGTCCACCGAATTCAAGACGAATCGTGAGTTTAGACCATTATGGCTTGTCGAACGGCATACCAGCAAAACGGAACTGCCTGAAGAAGAGACATACCCATCACTTCCCTCTAGTAAATCTACGTCTCGAATGTCGTCGGTCGAAGATTTACGGGCCAAAGCGCTTGAAGACAATGAATCTATGGATATATTCTCAACCCCAAGACGCCGACCATCATTGCATGTTGCTACTAACGACTCTTCTTTTGACGTAGATATCCTAGGTTCTCAGCAAGCCACCCCGACTGCGCATTCCTTCAGACCCCAAGACCGGAAGCCAAAGGAGAAGCCGAAATATGAGTTCCATTCTCCGTCTGAGCTCCTGGAGGGTCCGATGTCGTCTCGATCCGCATTGAGCGATGTTCCACAATCTTCGGATGGCACAGTTATTCCTGACAATCGGGTCCAAGAACTTGAGGATATGGATCTTCAGAACCTACCGCCTCTACCTGAGTCTCCAGTCCACGAAGACCCTAAATCTCGTGAGTTGGATATCACTCCTGAAGTCAGCCAGGATGTGCAGTCAACCTCTCATCGTGAGCCTGAAGTAGAAGCAGCAGAAACCCCAGCAGAAACTCGATCAGAAACGGTCTCCCTTGAACACCTCCCTCCGCTCCCTGATAGCCGCCCGTCTACTCCCATTGCTGAGCAGGGAGTGGAAACGGAGGAGCTAGTGGAGGATATCGATCGTTCGTCGACTCCCCGGCCGACACATCGTGAACTTGATGAAGTCCCAGCCGATACCCCTACCATGATCTCGGCGGCTCCGGACTCAGGCCATGCCACGCCGACTCAACTTTCGCCAACATATCGTGCAAGTGAGGCCAGTGAATATGAATCTGTTGATGAGGACCACTTTGTGGATGCCAGTAGCCAGGCACTTATGAGCCCATCTTATCAGAAAGACTTCAACTCACCAACTACACCTACTCAGTTAGCATATAATTCCGAACCTCATGGAGCAGTTACCCTTCTCCCTCCGGCTACCGCGATTTCCGCCTATGGCGTTCCTGGTGAAGGTAGCATTTCCAAAGATACAGATTCTGAATCTGTGATGACAGTAACAAAAGATGACAGCTTTGGAGGGGAACCGAAACCTAGTGCTGGAAGTATCAATGATTCTGAACTTGAGCTTCCATCCGAAAGAGCCAAGGAATCTGAGGATAAGACTGAAGTCCCAGCACCATCGAAATCTAAAAAGAACAAGAAAAAGAAGAAGAAGAACCTTGATGCAGAGCCTACTTCTACAGCCCAATCTGTAGAACCTGAGGTTCGTCCTGCCGCAGAACCAGCTCCTGAACCAGCTGCTGAACCTGTTTCCGGGAGTCAAGCAGAAGAAAAGGCTCCTGTAAATATCTCGACTGATACCATCTCATCTACGGCCACTGATCATGTCCCAAGCGAGGAGCCAGCCCTCTCTACTGGTATTGGCGAAGAAAGCAGCCTGGAACCCGTAAAAGAAGACCTAGTTGCTGGATCAGTCGCCAATAAGCCTAAGAAGGGCAAATCTAAGAAAGGACGCAAAAACAAGTCTGGGATAGATTCTATTGAAGGGTCAAGTCAGGAATCCAATGAATCTTCGGCAGGTATTTCTACCCGGAAGGATAACTTCGCCATCACGCAGGACGAAGGCTTGGGGGATTCTACAAGAGAAGTAGCGGGCGCTCAGTTAGACGATATGGTGATCGATTCAGTACCTGACATCAATTCTCAATTGCAACATGCCCGCCCTGGTATTGTGGATGCCATCCCTCCAATGGCAAATCTTCCTGATACAGAAAAGGACCCCAAAGAAGCTCCCGTCTCAGGGGAAGTTTTAGCTCAAGATGTTCCTTTACCAGTTGCAGATCTTGAAGAAATCGATGCTCTCAACTTTGTTCTTGATGAACAAGAGCCTACTGCAGCAACAATGGCGCAAATAAATGACCATCTGAAAGATAACTCGGCGTCTCTGCCTCTCAGTCCTGAGCAGAAACCGCAAGATATACCACTCCCCCTTCCTAGTGCAGAGGAAGCCGATCTTCTTGAAACAACGAATGAAAGGAGCGCAAATGAGCCGGCTCTACTAGATAGAATTTCAGGTGTTACAGGCCCTTCATTCCCCCATGAACCTCCGGTAACTGAAGTTGCTCCGCCTCTTGCAGATACAGATATACACAAGATAGAGAGCGAGGACAGAGGACAACCTGAAGACCCAGAACCTGCTGCAGGGATGGCCGGAATTCCAATAGGCGATGCAAGTCACGAATCAAATTTCCCAACGACTACAGGCCACGGTCAGCTCCTTCCAAAGCTCGAAGAAGACATACTTCCAACACCATTTTCTGCAAATCTGGTAGACGAAAAGGGCATTCACAGTGGTACTGACATGTTCTTTGACGCTGCCCAAAATGTGGATGCACTAGCCAAGCACGAACTTCCGGATGAGCTGGCGGACAAAGAGCCGGAACCTTATACCCCTGCCATTAAGTCCGAGGAGCTTGCAGAGCCTGAGCCAAAGCAGAAGAAAAAGAAAGGCAAAAAGGGCAAAAAGGACCGCAAGAACTCTGCATCGATTGACAACATTGAAGCATCAGCATCTCCGGAACAGCCACTTGTGGAATCACCTGAAGTACCGGTGAGATCTAATGAAACAGAGGAGGCTCCAACTGTCGCTTGGAATGAAGAGACTGTTGAGCAACCGTCCATTGAAGAGGGATCTCTCTCTGCTAAAGGTGCCGAGGCTTTACCCTTGTCAACAAACGATGACGCTAACGCGGCCGAACCTGGAGTCATAGCCAATGACACACCACCACATATCCCAGGCGACAACAGCTCTCAAGATGTGCGGTCAACGTCGAAGCAGTCCAAGAAGCAAAAGAAAAAGGACAAGAAAAAGCAAGAATTGCTGAACAGTACGCTAAATGAGACTGTTCCTGAGGCAATCAACGTCGAAGAGAACACTGAAAAGAGCACATTGGCGGTTCATGATACAACAACAGCTACCGAAGAAAGCAGCCAAGACCAGCCAGTAAATAAGGCCATTGTTACTCCTGTTCTCCTCGAAGAGCCGAAGGGTACCCTCGTTGACATCCCGGTCGATGAAGAGCCAACCAAAGAGGATACGTTGCTGACTGGCGCTAAGCTCGAAGTGCCTACTCAGGTAGACATAAGGGACGAAAGAGCTGTCGAGGAAGACTCTAACATCATCAAAGCCACCGAAGGAAGTGAAGCCATGCGATTCAATCTCCCTCATGAAGAAGCGAATTTGCAAGCAGAAACCATTCCATCCACTGGGGAAAATGCAGTTAAACTTGCTAAAGCCAAGAAGGATAAAAAGGGGAAGAAGGGCAAAAAGAATCGGGAAGTCCTATCTCTAGAAGATGAAGATCAGAGTTCGGAGAAAGGCAAACCTGCCGATGGGCAATCGTCGATGGCTTTGGAGGCTGAACCGTCTACCCTAGGAAGCCCCCCAGCCGAAGAAAAACCCACGGAACCTGTCGGCGGTCTACCAATGGATGCCAATGACGTCCCTGTGGAAACTCATGTTGAAAACGCATTAACAGGCAAGGAAAAGAAAAAACGCAAGAAGAACCGCAGTGTATCAGCTATTGATGAAGCCCAGCCAGTTCAGAAATCCTCTCCGCCAGATGTTCCTGAAGTTGATACTGAGGCTCAAGGCTCTATTCCACTGGAGGTCCAAGATGATCCTCAGAACACTGAAGTCTCCGAGCCTTTAGCTGAAGCACCATCAGCCGTTGATAAGCTACTAACTGAGTCTGAGCCTATTGAAACCTTCCATGAACAAGGACTAGCCAGTGACAACATCCCAATGGATTCGCAGGCCTCGGAACAAGTAGCCGACCAACCACTAGGTGTCGACGGATCGAGAATAGGATACCAGCCCTTGGAGCCATCAACTAGAACTGCTTCAGAGATTAACGATACACTTGAAGGGCCACACGCCTTGGAAGCCCACAAGAATGAAAATCTTCAAGAACCTGACCCCCGGCCATTGGAATCTTCAACTTTGCATCAGCCTTTGCCCTTTGAATCTACGCCACAACCTTTAGTCGAGGAGCCATCTGAAGCAATTAAAGAGTCCCCTGCACCTGCCGATAAGCCCGTGGTATCAGAACCCCCAGGTGAGAAACCAGCAAATTCCGAGGAACTTGCAATGGAAGCGTCTGGTGAGATGTCTCTACCAGTAAAGGGTAAAAAGAAGAAAAATAGGAATCAGTCGCAGTCCTTGGACGAGGAACCCCAAGCAGTTGAATCATCATCTTTAATTCAAGAGTCATCAATAGAGACTCCGCGAGATGGGCCGTCTGATCCCGAAAAGGATGCATCAGCAGAACAGCGGGATGATGAACCGCATGAAACTTTGGGAAACAGAGAAGTAAATGTTCAGCAGGACATGCTAATCGAGCCACCAGTAGACAAGCTGCGGCCAGTTGACATTGCATCCTCAGAAGTTCCTGTTGATATCCCTCTCGCCCCTAAGGAAAAGAAGAAGAAGAGGAAGAAGAAGGGCCAATCAATATCCATCGACGAGGAACCAAAAGCCATAGAGTTCATAGCTCCTGTTAGTGATTTATGGGCAGACCCTCTTAAAGATGCTCCAAAGGAAACCTTGCGGGATGTCGAGGCTCAGGAGGATTTGCGTGTGGATAAACATCTTCAAACTCAGGAAGAGGAGGCTCTAAAACCTCGGAATGTCCGCCATCAAGACACGGAGTCACCTGCCCCCATTGAAGATTCCTCCGCCGAAACTCTCCAGGATATGCCTTCAGAGAATATGGCGCTTGTTGAAGACACACCGGTAGACTCGGGTTCTTCTAAAACACAACAAGGTGGACCTACTGATATTCTCCAGGACAGGCAGCCAGAAACCCAGCAAATTGGAGACTCCCGTTCCATTGAGGGTGAACCCATTACAACTCTAGAGGACAAACGACCTGAAGTCACGGAGTCTGCGGAAGGCGAGCAGCCAAAATCCATCCCATCTGATGTTTTAGAGCTTGAACCTAAGGACATTATAGACGAAAACCAACCAGAACCCAAACTTTCTGATCCCCAGGATCCACTTCCCGCTGAACTAACAGACGACAAGCGACTAGATGTCCACCATATTAGCATTCAAGAAGACCAAGAAGGTGCACCCGTTGTCCCACACGAGGTACAGGCACAATCTCAGATTGAAAGCTCTGAACCAAAGGTTGAATCCGCCGAACTTGAGGATGACAATCATCTCAAACCCCAGAGTGACCAACTAGCTGAGAACCAAAAGGGTGATGTAGTAGAATCTCACGAAGAACAATCAACAGACATCGTGGACACAGCTTCTATGGAGCCGCCAATTGAGTTGACTTCTACACCTAAAGATAAGAAGAAAAAGAAAAAGAAGAAGGGTCAACCCAAAGCTCTGGACAACGATACTGAAGTTATTGAAACACCAACAACTGTTGATCAACTCCCTGTAGACACTGTGGACCAGCCTGTACCAGAAACGCCAATCGAAAAGCCTCTTACCGCGAAGGAAAAGAAAAAGTTGAAGAAGCATCAAAAGAAATTGTCTCTGGAGCAGGAGTCTCAACCGGTAACAACGCCTGGGGTTGCTGATACACCCTCCGTGGAAACCCAGAAAGAACAAGACTTGGAGGTAGACACAAGTTTACCTTACTCCGCGGGTACCCATGCCGAGCAGCCTTTGCTGGACCAGGGGATTGAAAAAGACCAGGAGACACCACACTTGGAAGAGCTACCTATACCCAAGGAGGCAGGGCAACCTTCCGAAACTCTCGCCGTCGAGCCCTCAACTGAAGAGCCACTAGCGATAGGTAACGACTTACTAGAGCAACATATCGACAAACCTCTATCTGCGAAGGAAAGGAAAAAGAAGAGGCAAGAGAAGGCAACAACTTCTTTGGAAGACGAGCCTGTGGCCAAAGAGGAATCAGTTTCCCGTGAAAGTGCCCTAGATGACGCATTCGGCACTGAGCCGATACCAGAAGAGCAAACTCCTGAGAAACCTCTATCAGCTAAGGAAAAGAAGAAAAAGAAAAAGAAGAGCCAGGAGGATCAAGCTGCGGGAGAAGAATTTTCAGCTAAGCCTGAGGAGGTCCCAGGGACTTCGGAAAGTACGTCAGTTGAATTCATGGCCCAGGAGGTTCAGGATGTTGACAACACTCCGGCAGAGGCCCCTTTCGAGCAGCCTTTGACTGCGAAGGAAAAGAAGAAAGGGAAAAAGGACAAGAAATCGAAGCAATCTGTGGGTTGGACAGATGAGGTGCCTCAAACCCCCCAGGGGCTTGAAATACCGAGGGAATGTGAGACAGAGGCCTCAATTCCAACTGAGTCTACTGCCACCACAGCAGTTATATCTTCGGCTGAACCATCGCAGGAAAATATCGAAGGCAAATCCCAAGGTCCGAAGGAGCAGCCTACCGACGTAGCTTCCACCCAACCAGGCATGGTAGAAATGGATATCGGACGCACTGCTCCCAGAATAACCGAGCCACAAGGAGACGGCGGTGAAGTTGAGACTGGCAATCCAGACGAGGACGGTAAAGAATTTCAACTCTCTAAATCTCAGAAGAAGAACAAAAGTAAGAAAAAGGCTGAAGTTTCTTGTTGGACTGATGAAATTCCGCCTACGCAGGTTGACAATGGGCCTGCAATCCCTCCTACAGAGCTTGAATCCCAGCAACGATCGTTACCCTTTGATGAAGAACCTCTCAAACAACCTGACACCTCCACCAATGCCTCGGATGCTCTACGAAATGACGCCTTAGACAATCTTCCTGCTACCGACGCGGACCTGGCTGTATCGGAATCCAAGCCATCACACTCCCTGGCTAATGTTGATGGCCAGCCCGAGGATGTAACCATTGTTGAGGAGAAACTTATGGAAACACCAGTTAACGATGCCACTAGGCCCGATATGGTTTCCTTGCCGGAATCAGTGGGAGAAACCACAGAACAACATCTGGCCCCTGAGAAGACTCAAGAAGGTATCAAACCATCCATGGAGATTCAAAGCACCGGACCGGGGCCATCTCTCGATGATCAAATCATGGAAAACATCCAAGAGAGTGCCACTGAGAATCCTGCCGATGAATCGCTATCTGACAAGAGTAAAGGCTTATCATCAACTGGTCTAGGAGACGCCCTTACCGAACCTTCAATACCTGAACTACAGGATCAGTCGACACCAATCCCTCCATCAATCAGCTTATCGTCAAGACCAGATGCCGAGGGTAGGCTAGTGGACTTGCGTGGGGCCGGAGCATCAGTAGATACAAAATATTCTGAACCCATCAAGGAACAGGAAATCCAGGTTAGCAAATCTGAAGCCAAAATTCCAGAGTCTGGACCGATTGATTTCACAATTTCGGAGAAGATTTGTGAACATCCGCCCCCAGAGCAGTCCCAAGCCGAAATCTCTGATGCCATGCAAGAGACACCGACCGAGCTACCCAAACCGGAAGAACTTGGCCTTGCCCTTCTATCTACGGAACAATCAACAGCTGATGACAATGATTCCGCAGCTACCCCTTTAAATCGCCATACCACTGATGATGTCCCGCTCAGCACTATCCCCCAACTTACAACTGTGTCTGATGAACTCCCAGCCCGAGATACAAGTAAGATGTCCAAGAAGGAGAAAAAGAAGAAAAAGAAAAAGGGTGTGATGTTGGAGGGAGAACCTGTTGTTGCCCCTGAGTTACCAGAGATCAAAATGCAAACTTTACCTGAGGAACCTAGCGCTCCAGAGCCTCTCATTGCCGATATGAAGGAAGAGTCACTGCGAACACTTTCAAAAAAGGAGCAAAAAGCTGCAAAAAAGAAGGCTCGCGGGGCTGTAGCTGATGTCGTCAAGTCAGATTTCAAGGAGGACGTAGAAGCAGTTAATTCTACCCCAAATGTCCCTAAAATCACAGCTGACATTACAAAAACCACCGATTTCAACAAAGTTGATGATGCTCCAACGACAGAAGAGCCTGCAGAAGTCGGTATCGAGCAAACTCATGGATTGGAAACACAGCCCATTTCTACGGACATGACAGTTGATTCTGCTGGAAAAGATACGGTAACGCCACCTATTCCACCTTTTGTGGACGACAACATGACAGAGCCCGAGCCAGTCGGAGCAGCGGCAGAGATCAGCCATGAACCTACATGGGATGAAGGCTCAGGACCAAGAAAAAAATCAAAGAAACAAAAGGAACGTACTAAAGGTACGATTACTTCTCAAACGGAGACGGATGCCCCAGGCGAATTGAAAGATCCTGAACTAGAAATACAATTGGTGAGAGAAGAACCAGCTCAGGAGCCAGTTTTATCAGGTCAATCTTCTAAGAGAAATAAGAAAAAGAAAAAGAAGGGTGTTCGAGGTTTGAGTGGTGATGTTGAAGCCCCAGTTGCGGAAGAAAAAGAGATTGAAGCAAATACCATCGATGCGCCTGTCTGTCCCGACGTTGATATGCCTGTTGCTGGCGAGGCTGCAAGCCCTAAAGAGGATGAGGTATGGCCAACTATTGACTGGGATCATATCCATGATAATGTATCTAATACTGTTCCGTACGCTCAGGTTAACAACGAACGAGAGATGGACACGGCGTCGTTGGATCTTCAACTTTCTGGTGACCATGAAGTCATCAATGATACCCCCGAAATTCAGCACACAGTACTCCCCAAGACAATGACACCGGGAATTGGAGACTTCAGTGAAGATACGGCTCCTAAATGTGATGACGTCCCGGAAAAACCAGTAGAAACTTTCGCTGGGGAAACTGGACAAAAACCCAAGGGAGAGAGCATGAGCGAGATTCATGATACCAGGGCCCCTCAATCAGCAGCGGAAACACTGGCCTTTGGCGGCGGAGCAGTGGAAGAGCGTGGACCGGACCAAGACGTGTCCTTCGGAGAGAAAATTGACGCAAAGTTTGTGCCCATGAGCCGCCAAACACCCCCGCAAGTAATAGATTCGGCTATGGAGATTGATAGCAGCTTTAAGGAAAACTCGCAACCAGTAGCCATGGAACATGCAGCTGTGGACGACAGTACTAATAAGGATGTGCCAATGAAAGACTTGGGCGCAGAGCCCTCAGTCGAACAAACAGCAAGTGAGTTCCATGATTCAAAAGAACCAGTCATGGCGCTATCACAGGAAACCCAAGGCACAGAACCCACCTTGGACACGGGAGCTTCGCCGGTGGGAACCGAGATTTCCCCACAGTTAGCAGACAAGGGAGAAACGGTAGTACCTTACGACATTTCTATCGGCACATTGCAAGGTGAAGATACCTGGCCATCAACAGAAGGGAAAGGGGAAAAGGTGAAGAAGAGCAAGAAGTCCAAAGGCAGGGGGAAGGCACTTGAGAGAGACAAGGCTGAGACTGAGACTCCGTTGTTTGAAACACAGGAGCTTCAAGCTCCATCAACTGCGAAGCATGAAATGACTAAACCAGTCGAGCCTACCACTGGCCTGACCCCAAAGCAGCCAGAGGAGGAGGCTATACCAAGTAAAGAGAAGGGGAAATCCAAAGCGAAGGGTCTTGTAGGAGAAGACCTTGGATGGACCGAGGCCACAGAGATAGGAAGTCAAGACCTAGCCATACTTCAACAGGATTCTCTAGACAGCCCCGATCCATTGTCTAAGCTTGTACCTGAGTTTGTATCAGGGCCCTCAACAGAGCCACCTCCAGAGGTCGAAAGTGCTTTTCTGACAACGGACGAAAAGGAAAACAAACCTAAGAACAAGAAAAACGAAAAGCCAGCGGTAGTTGAAACCGAACAGCCCGAAGACTCACGACCCCCCATATCTGCGGTTGAGCCGGAAATTCCAACTGAAGTAACTGCGGCAATTCCAAAAGCTGCAAGGGAGGAGGTTCCTGAACCAGAAGCTGAATTTCTCCCTAATGTCACCAAGAGAAAAGGAAAGAAGACCAAAGCTAAGGGCAAACGTCCAGCAAACGTTGGATCTACGATTGAGGCAGGGGAAAGGCACTCAGAGGTGACTCCTGAGCTATCAAGGGAGCCAGAGGAGCCCGTCAAATCCAATGAGCCTAGTTTTTTGTTCACAACAGGACCAGGGGGCGGGCCAGAAGAAGATATCTCACTCTCAGTGACAAGCAAGAAGGTGAAGCAAAACAAGAAAAAGAACAAAACTCAACTCTCTGAGGATCTAGTCGCTGATACCACAAAAACACAGCTACTGACACCTGAGCCTGAGCTTGCTACTAAACCTGCATCCTTAGAATCATTAGAGGCGCCTGACTGGTCGCGAAAACATGAGTTACATCCTGGAGATGATAAGGCAGCACGGCAGGATACCGGCACATCAGAAGACTTGACGGTCTCTCAGGCTCTTGATATCGGTGCCTCTGGGAATGAACCTTCTGGCGCGGATCTGGAGCCTGTCAACCAGGCGCCCGAGGATGTTCAAGTGTTAGACAAGTCAATGGCTGAACCCGAGGCAATGATACCGACTCCTAAACGTGAATACAATGACGACCCTTTTTCAGTTGAATCAAGCTCTAAGGAGCGTTCTTCTGCTCTGTTATTCCACTCGTCACCATCCACTCGAGACTTCGGCTATATGACTCCAGCAACCCATGAACTACACGACCAGCACGAAGAACGTCCATCTACGCCTACTCCAATGCATCTACACAAGTCTATAGAAACAGACAAGCCACTGGATCACGCTGATGACACAACTCCCCATGCACTCCTCTCTACCCCTGAGAAGGAGATTTCAAGACCAACCACGGCCGAGGATATTGCACCCAGAGCCACCGAGCAAGCTCGACCATCTCTCGAACCTCCATCTCTCTTCGGAGGACCCTACGGACTGGCTGAACGGGAAAGGTCTGTCTCTAGATCGGTATCTCCTCCCAAGACGCCGCTGGGAACGATCGAGGAGCACTCGGCTATATCCGCGCCGTATGAAGCCCAGCACCCTCCAGCCTTCCCCCCACTGACCCCGGACGCTGCCCCTGCTAGCCGGGGGCCTGAGAAGAAGCAGCAAGCCCAGCCACAGACCTGGGCGACCCCGGCCGTCAACCCAGTCCACACCCCTGAATCGACACCTCCCAAGCTACGTCGGGTTAAAAGCCGCCGCAGCTCCGACCTTAAAGCGGCGAGCGAACGTGACTTCCGGCGCGGAAGAACCCGCACTCCGTCTCCCAGCCTCTCGCAAGAGGAGCAGGAATATCAGGAAGACGAAGAAGCGCGCCAACTTCCATCATCCTCAACGTATGACCCAGTCACAGACAAGGGCAAAGCGCCGCTGCGAGGCATGGCTGCCGACGTCTATGTAAGTTGACGATATCATCCATGGCTCCGAGTGACCAGTTCTGTCGCTAACACATCTCCATAGGAAGGATGGGGCGATGTCCAGGGCGCCCCGCCGCTCTCACCTACTCGCCCGCCCAGTGTGCGCCGGCGCCGCAGTCTACAGCGCCTCCAGGAGCTCGAAACTCGTCTTGACCAGCTTGTATCAGAAAACCGCCTCCTAGGCTCCTCCAAAGCCGCCGCCGAAAAGGCAATTGAGAGCCATGCCGTCGCTCAACGTCAACATGCGCGCGCACTAGAGGCACGTGACCAGACAATCCAAAACAAGGAATTGGAGATACAACAGCTGCAGAAGTCCTCAGACTGGCTAAAGAAGGAGATTACCAGGCTGACAGAGGTCAACGAAGGGCTTGCTGCTGCCAATGCTAGCTATGCGGCCTCCCGTGGCCTCGACGGTGGCAACAAGTCGAACTACAAGGAAGAGTGGGAGAAGTCGCAGCGGGAGCTGGAGAAGTCGCAGCGGGAGCTGGAGAAGTCGCAGCGGGAGCTGGAGAAGGTTCGTGCGCAATACGCACAATTATTCTCAGGCCTAGAGCAAATGGTCAAGCATGAAGTCGGCACTGCGCTCGCAGATAAGGACGCTGAAATCCAGTTGCTGCGAGACAACTTAGCTGATGCCCAGGACAAGATCAAGGAGCTTCAGGAGCAAATACAGGCCTCAGCCAAGGATGACATTCTTGTCTTCCACGACGAGGATTACTTCGACAATGCCTGTCAGAAACTATGTCAACACGTCCAGCAGTGGGTCTTAAGGTTCTCTAAATTCTCAGATATGCGCGTTTGCCGCACCACCAGTGTCCTCCGCGATGAGAAGATTGTTGACCGATTTGAGAATGCAATTCTTGATGGAACCGATGTCGATACTTACCTTTCCGATCGTGTTGGGCGAAGAGACGTGTTCATGTCCGTTGCCATGACTATGATGTGGGAGTACATCTTTACTCGGTACCTCTTCGGAATGGACAGAGAGCAACGACAGAAGCTGAAGACCCTTGAGAAACACTTATCTGAAGTCGGTCCACCAAATGCTGTTCACAAATGGCGAGCTACTACTTTGACTCTTCTCTCCAAACGGCCTTCTTTCAAAGAGCTTCGCTCACAAGATACCGAAGCTGTGGTCCAAGAAATCTACCGCACCCTCTCAAAACTACTTCCACCCCCTCATGAATTAGAGAAAACTGTCCTGGATTCTCTTCGCAACGTGATGCGGTCCGCAGTCGATCTTTCAATCAAAATGCGCACCCAACGTGCAGAATACATCATGTTACCCCCCCTCCAGCCAGAATACGACACCAACGGTGAACTCCTCCGAAAAGTCTACTTCAATGCTGCTCTTATGAACGAACGCAGTGGCGAAACAACCTCGAATGAAGAGCTAGAGGCACAGCGTGCAGTCGTTCGCATGGTCCTTTTCCCCTTGGTTGTCAAGAAAGGCAGCGATGAAGGCGATGGCGATGAAGAAATAGTCGTTTGTCCCGCCCAGGTCCTTGTTGCAAGGCCTCCAAAAGAGAGGAAGTCGTCCAAGGGCCTGAGTGCCGATAGACAAAGCATTCGGTCGACTCAAAGCTTCCCGTCTATTAGTATGGCCCCGAGCAACCCGAGTAACATAATGTGAGGCGTCACACTCTCATTAACTCGTTCACTGCGGGTATGTTCTTAATAACATTGCCTCCTTGCACACTCTCACGAATACACTGAAACATGGGAAATCACGGCGTTTCTGAGGATCTTATCTTTCATATCTTTTTTCGGATACAGAGTTTGGATGGGATGAACAGGATCGATATCCGGCATTTGGGTACTTTACACGGAGTTTTGTTAATCTTTTTTTGCTTTTCTGTCTTTTTTTCCTCTTTTTTTTTGTTCACTTCATGTTCCAATATGTTTTAACTTATGGCTCTCTTTTGTTGCTTGGATAACGATGACGAGGCCCACGATGTCTTGCGCAACACATTTCTTGTATTTAATTTTGGTAACATGAGTTGTTAATAGATTTTATGACCTTCAACTCTGACTGCTTCTTCGATTCACTTTACACTTTTCGCCGGCAAGCAACAGCCTGTTCTGATACCGGATCAGCAATGCAGTTTAATCGTTCCAAGCCGATCCCCAGGTCCGACAGGTTGAGCAGCATGACACAAAACAGAGATGATGCATAACTACTGGCCAATGATAGGGTGGCACTTCTGCCGCCGGCTGCATGGAAGAAGAATCCGGGCCTTACAGGTGGAACTTGATACCCGAGTCAGCCTGGGGCTGTGATTAGGGTTTGAACCGGCACTACCAGCCAGCGAAAAACCCTTCAACCATCGACGTCATCCTTTGGGTTGTCGATTGCTAGCAACCAAACTCCAACTCATCTCCCTGTTCCATGCCGAACTTCACCCCTTTTCCCACTTGCCATCAACCTGCATACGGCTTTAAAGTACCCTAAATTCGTTAGGATCTCGGCCGGGACTCCGCAGATGATATTCACCATCTCCGTAGTCAAAATCTCTTCCTCAGACGGTCCAGCCTAAAGATGGATCCCACCACCAGTGTCATGGGGGCAGAAAGAAGTGCGCCCAAAAAAAGAAGACACAGAGCTCCCAGGAAGAAGCGGAACAGAAGACCTTCCTTTGCTCCAGCTGGTGATAACTCTCATTTCCAGTCGCCGCTCAGTCGAGTCGACACGCAACCAAATGAAGAGCATGAAGATACAAAGGATGCCTCTCTGACCGAGACTCGTCCACGCCCGTTCTACAACCTTGGAAGGTCTGGCGGGGGAAATCTCAGTGAGACCAGCCTTGAGAGTGAAGCCTTACTGGATCACCGGTAAGCCAACCTCCTAACAACCTGCTCCTTTCAGTGACCGTCTTTTTTCAAGCTGGTAATGCTAATATTTACTCATAGAAATCAACCCATGATGCGTCCGCGCCGGGAGAGCAGACTAGCCCAGAGCTTTCGTCCCGACCAACTGCCCGTAGAATCCCCTACCAGCTCACGTACAAAAATACGCAGACACGAAACCCTGCCAGAGGACGACTTCGCCATCACGGACGACCGTTCGCCGTTGTTAAATTCATCAGCACAGAATGGCGGTGCTCTCCGGGGTTATGGATCTGACTTAAGATCACCCTATTCTATGCCAGCAGGTATGGGCAGCCCAACATCAAGGCGGTCACCACAAAACAGCTATACGCCTGATGCCTTCTTAGCTTCGAGGCAGGGATACGATGTCAACAACCCACCTTCTATGCCCGGAAGCCCCAAAATCATGCCTAATAATATGGGCTATGACGAAACAGTAATAACAGGACCTGAGTTCGTTCGCCAACAGTCACCAGAAGCGCTGAGCTGCCACAGTCTACCCATGGATGCAGTAGTCAATGTGGATACAGACTCGAGAAGGCCAGGATTACAATCCAGACATGGATCAATGTCGCGCTCTCCGGCGGATCTACAGCGCCGCCGAACACTTACTCTTCCAGTGGAAGAAGATGTATGCTTCCCTGCTAGTGGCCTTTCAGATCTCGGCGAAGAAGATCTCCAGTCACATATTCCAACCGGTGGAGATACCCGTGAGCGTAGACGGCGGTCACGGAGAGTATGGCCCGACCTTTCAGTGTTGGATGAATGGAGCCAGCATGAGAAGGAGGCTCGCAGTGGTGGAACCCGTTCCAAGAGAATTGATGAACCAGTGCTCATCGGGGGGAGACTAAGAACTCGAAATCTGGCGTGGAAACAAGATGAAGAAGAGGAAGCACCGTATCGTTTCACCTATTTTAATGAAGATTTTCAAAGCACCTTGCACAGCCAGACACTATCCGAACTTGAACAACCTGGCCAAACTTTCCGAGACCTTTTCATTCCAGAACCTCCACTACTAGAGGACGATTCTTCGGATGAAGAAGATGATTCCCCCCCTCATAGCGGTACAACAAGCCGTGATAAACACCCATCTATATCTACAAATGCCAACCACAACACAAACAATCTTCCAGACCTCCTATCAGACAACCCGAATAGCACATCCCCACAGCCTACCAATGGAAATAGCCGAATTCCTAGCCCTAAGAAAGAGCCGCGATATGGACCCCGGCCTACCTTCTGGCTTGATGTTCTCAGTCCCACTGACAGTGAAATGAGAATCATTGCTAAAGCATTTGGGATACACGCCTTGACCGCCGAAGATATCATGATGCAAGAAGCACGAGAAAAGGTTGAACTGTTCCGCAATTACTACTTCATCAATTACCGGACCTTCGAGCAAGATGTCAACAGTCCTGATTTTCTTGAACCCGTGAATATGTACGTGGTGGTTTTCCGAGAGGGTCTTCTCAGCTTCCACTTCTCTCGAACTCCTCATCCAGCAAACGTCCGCCGAAGAATCCGTCAACTCAAAGATTACTTAATCCTGAGCGCAGATTGGATATCATATGCTATCATTGACGATATCACTGACGTTTTCGGCCCTCTCATCCATGCTATTGAGGAAGAAGTCGACGAGATTGATGACAAGATCCTACGCCTACATTCCGACGACAAGGAAATGGGTTCTGATCAAAACAACGAAAAGACTGCTGCTTTAGAGGAAAGTGGCTCTGGAACCAATATGCTTCGCCAGGTCGGTGCATGCCGTAAGAAAGTGATGGGGCTTTACAGGCTTCTAGGCAACAAGGCAGATGTTATCAAAGGGTTTGCAAAACGCTGCAATGAGTACTGGGAAGTTGCCCCGAAGTCTGAAATTGGACTCTACCTGGGTGACATCCAGGATCACATCCTGACTATGACGAGCAATTTAACTCATTACGAAACGTATGTCGGCCCATTCCCTTCGTAGCCTAAGGTCGTTGTACTGACTTTGAATTCTAGACTGCTTTCCCGTGTGCATTCAAATTATCTTGCTCAGATAAACATCCGAATGAACGAACGACAAGAACAAACAGCCGATGTCTTGGGCAAGCTCACAGTACTCGGCACCATTGTCCTTCCAATGAACATAATCTGCGGCATGTGGGGGATGAACGTCAAGGTTCCTGGACAAGACGTTGAAAGCCTCAACTGGTTTTGGTCAAGTATGTTTCCAGAGCATCTGATTTTAGTCCACCAATCACCCATAGGTGCTGGCTGCTAACGCTTCATTATAGTAACTGCCGGGCTGGTGCTTTTCGCAATTGTCTGCTTCTATGTCGCTAAGCGCGTTTACCGCATCGTGTAAACAGCATAGTTGTATATATACCGCTGGGAAAGGGATCCACCCCCCTCTTCCTATCTGGATACCATTTTGTCGCATTCCCTTTTTGCATGGTGTAAATGGTAAGCGCACGAGTACGGTTTGGATTTTTTTTTTTGAAGCATGGTGGCATGAAGTGTTGGATTGGAATCCGACTGATTAATATTTTTGACATTCTATGGGATTTCTATACGGTTCTGAAGAATGAAGAACCATTTACTTTACAGTTCGACCGTTGGTTTACGAAAAAGTTGAGTTAGAAAAATGCCGGCAGCATTTTATATTTCTTTATACGTCACCCCTAGAACCAATATTGGATATTTTCTTCCTACCGATGAGGACCAAATGGGTATGTATATATTAAACAATGTGAATTTCGGGACTCTATGGATATATCTCCGTGCTTCCATTCCATTCGACTTGTAGTTATATCATATTTTCCGTTCACATTCTGCTTGAATCTGTTGTAGTTATATTTGTATTCATGGTAAACTTGTTCCACTTAATAACATAGGAAAAGATGAAGCAGGTGAGGACATGATAAGAGGCGCTGTTAGATGGAGATCGTCAACTGCACCTTCTTGCTATGCCTCGTTTGCTTCGGCTCTTAAAGGAGTGTGCTGTCGAGATGGCGGCAAAAGCCGATGCAGAGGCCCAAAGTTAGTACAAAAGAGATTGAAAAAGAAACCCCCCGGCTTGCGCCCATAATTCCCCAATTCCCCAGTCTATTTTGTTGTCATTGGTGTTGTTGTCATGATGTTTCCCCCAGCAATGTCAAAGAAACACGGATTTTTCCCTTTTTACGGGAGCATATACATAGAAACAAACGCAACGACAAAAAATATTAAAGAGTAAAAAAAAAAGAAAGAAAAAGAAAAATCAAAAGCCATTAAAACAGCTATGCATAGTAACAGCAAGCAACAGGGGTATAAAAGTGTTTTGTTATAAAAATCGCTTAGAAAAAACAAGAGAAGCAATAAACTCAAGGCTTGTGGAGAATCATCATACAATAATGCGCGCAAGATGGCTCTCTTTTGCAAAATGAAGAGATAGAAAATTCGTTAAAATATAATCAAAAGTTCAAAGGTAGTCGTACAGACGATCTACAGCTGGGAGATCTTATTACCCGTTCAAGGCAAGAGGGTCGGCATGACTAAAGAGGTCGAGGTTTCTGTGACCGCCTTAGCTGTAACGGTCTTTGTAGGAGCGGTCGGAGTAAGGGTCGATGTCGATGTTGGCTTTGCATTGCCTTTGTCAGGTAGAACGGCAACTTTTGCACTGACGGGCGCGCTCTGGATTATCGAACTTAGCGGAAGCTCATATCTTACAACGCCCCGAACAATTAACTCAAAGGGGTGTTGCTGGATTTTCTCCCAGCGCAAAGAACCACCTTCCTCAGTCCTATTTCCCGGTTTCGGGACACGGATTTGAGCGGTTGAGTTGGAAGCAAGGTGTTTCCAAGGCGAAGGAGTAAACGTAAGCGGGGAATCAAGGTGGAAAACCCGACCAAGTAACATAGTTTGTGGATTGGGGGCAGAAGGATCATGGATGGGGTCAGTGCCTTTGTCAACATTTCCTTCAGCTCTTTGTCGTTGCTCAGCCTCAACATCGAACCCTCTCGCAGCGAGAGAAAGGATAGCTCGCGACTTGCTATCGCCTGTACGAGGCAGAAGCCTCGTTTCCCCCAAATCCATTTCCTCCACTTCCAGGAATTTGCTCTTCGCAAAAATGTTCACATCTAGGTGGTTGACGGTCAGAGTAAAAAGGTTTGGATTGACCGCTTGAACGTCAAGGTCCATCATGAGCAAGGCTTCCGAGGCAAGGACATTCTGAATTCCTCGAATTTGTACATTGGTCAACGTCTTGGTCACGCCGACAACAAATACGGCAGTTCCGGCCCCAAGGATAATGACAAGGACAAGTAGGAGTGTGCAGAGTGTAGCTCGGGCGAACCATCCGCGGCGTCGTTCTTCCATGTACTCTAGTTGTCGGAGGCTTGAACTGCCAGGTCGCCGACCGTGGCGGGAGCGAATGTTACGTCCGTTAGGCCCATTCACCAAAGGCGTACGTTCATCATCAGCACCCTCTGCGTCAAAGTCGTAGCCATAGTCACCATCTTGTTTAGCGGAAAGTCGATGAGGTGCGCTGTTGCCATTTACTGACAAATATCGAAAGCCCTTGGACGTCGGCACCTGCTGCGAGGAGAAGAAACGTGCATGGTCGAATAACGATGTATTTGCTCCATTGCGAGCATGTCTGCCAGTATGATGTCTGGTAGTATGAATATTATGGCCGTTAATTCGTGAGCTGCCACGTCCGGAAGACATAGTATCGTCGCCGTCAAAAGTGTTGTAGGTATTGTTAGTAAACTTCATGCTTCGCTTGCCAGAAATTCCATGAAAACCGGGAGTGTCACGAAGGGCAGATCGAGTGCGGCCACCGTACTGGTCAAGTTGACTGACGGCTGAAGCGGTCGAAGGGGTCCGAGAATGATACCTATGCTGGCGGGCTGGATGAGGGTCACGAGGATTAGATTCATAGACAAACGTCTCGGCAGAGTCGGAAGAGTCCGCATCATCCACTGCACTAGCGACCTTGGCTTCGAAGATATCCGCCTTCGAGGACACTGAGCAAAGGTTATCAGTACGTTGTCTAACAATGAACAGCATATATAGGAAAAGCCGACTTACTCCCTCCGGGTGGCACCGTGGTTTTCCTAGATGCCTTCTTCTTTTCTTTCTTGGGCCGGATAGTCTCATCACTTCTGCGTTCTCTCAATGTGCCAGTTCCTCCACGTTCAGTCGCTGGCCCGCCTAGGGGTACCTGGGGAACAGAGCTAACTGTCTCGGTCTCTACAGTCATGTTTGTCATGGATATTTCTCCCGGCTTTCCGCGAGCAGAGCTGAGCGAGGTAAATGACCGCTTTGGGAGTACATCACCCGCATTCGGCCGTGCTGTGACAGAAGGATTTCTTCTATGAGGATCTGAGGGACGTCTAGCCATTCTCTTCTTCCCGCTCGAGTCCGAGCCACTTTCACCACCGGGTTTAGACGAGGTATCATCTTTTCCGCGCTCTTTTTCATCAAGTTTAGAATCTAGAGTGGTATGAGTATCGGTTGGTGTAGGAGTTCCAGCCTCTTCGACGGTTTCAAGCATAGAACCTGCCACGCTCCCGGTACGGGACAGGTTACGGCTGATGCTCCGCATTTGGTTATCTTCAGAGTCTTCAGTCTGTTTTTCCGATTGCTGTTGTTGCTGTTGTTGAGATGACTGCTGCTGTTGCTGACATCTGCTATCTTTCTCCTGGTTTGGCAGTCGAGCTGACTCAGGAACGCTGTCCGGCAGGCTGAAGGATGATAGATTAGACTGTGGCTGAGGTGACTTCAGCCCTGGAGAGCGTTGGGATGGTGAATCGATTGGTTTGTTTGTGAAGGACGGAGAGATCGGGGAGAGACGTCCTAACGTGTCGACTGGCGGAGGTAGCAAGGGTTTGTTCACGTCGGCAAGCTGCTTATGGCCGTTCTGTGACTGTGATTGTGTTTGTGAAGAAGAGACAGCGGCGGCTCCGCTTGGAGAGCGAGGTATACTAAGATCCCTGCTGCCTTTCCGTGATCTGGATATGGATCGAGATGTGGACGCCGATGAGTGGGCGGCTGGTTGAGCAATGGCTGAGCGCGGTATGCGCGGTATGGGAGACGTCTCTCGCGAGGAATTAACAGAATTGGGAGAGGAGGACATATGCAGAGGTCTGCCATGGTGAAGGTGGAAAGGTTTTGGACGCAATGATGGGTCTATGGATGCGGGAGCAGTTGAGGGGTGCAGGATGGTTGGAGGTAATAGGGAGGTCGCCCTAAATTGGCTCTGCTGCTCGCGTGCACTCCCGGCGCCATTCCCGTTGGTGCTGGTGCGGCCTTCGGGGCCAGCGGAAGTATGAGCATCTTGTCTGACAGTGTCATCATGTGATGGCACAGCTGGCGTTGGCCTAGATGGGGAAGAAAGGCGGCTAGTAGAAGATGACATGACGGGGATTTAGGGAGAGGGGATATGGAGAGTAAAGGGTATCGTTCTTGTCGAATCCGACACGAGGGCGTTACCACGAAGATGATCGGCCAGCGAGGGATGGGCGGACAGGGTGAATTATCAAAATGAGGCGTTCATAGGTCAGCAAATCCCCATTATGTTGAGATTGGCCAGCTATCAAGGGACGGACTCGGATGGAATTGAAAAAAAAGGGAGCTTGAAAACCAATATGGGCGCAAACAAAAAATGGATTTGTCAGTGCCAGAGCGATTAGAAATGGAGCATAGGCGAGGTGTGCTGGATCGGTTATACAGGGGTGACGATCATGATCCAGCTCTGGAAGCGGCAGCCTTTCCCTCCCCGAACAATATCGAATGCGTTAAGTGGTTTGATGCCAGGCTTGCTTGGGCAGTTCCGCAGGACAGGCTTGACAACAAGGGCGGACCGATCCAGGCTCCCTCCCGCTCTGCCGTCCAACGATCAAGCTGCACGAATTGAGCAGCAAGGGGTCGAGTGAAAGGAAGAGCAAAACAAATAAAACAAATAAAACAGATATATCTGTTTCGACTGCGGCGAGGAAGAGAAAAAAAAACAACAGGTAGGGCCCAATAAGGACGGCCCACGTCAACGCGCGAGGCGAGGGAATCTGGGGGCCCGGCGAGGGCCAGTAGGAGGCAGACGGCGAGACAGCGATCGCAACAGGTCTAGGGAGCCAGCAAAGTGAAGCTGGACATGGAAGAAGCCCAGTCTGTCAGTCTGCTGGCCTGTCGAAACGGGGAGGTCGTCTGTTTTGGCGGTTGTGAAGAGGTCGATGCCGGAAGCTTGTTTATTGGGCTACTGCGAGTTATGAAGCGGATGCAGGTGTCGTAGCTTGGGCAGCAAGCCGCGGGGAAGACGAGCAGCCAGTTGCACGCAGCCAGCGAGGCAGGACAGGCGAGCAAGGCGAGAAAGGCGACGGCGTCGAGCGGGCTGAGCGTGTTGTCCGTTTGCATATAAAAAGAAGAATCGAGGTTGAAGTTGAAGTTGCGAAGTTGAGAAAGTCGAAGTTGAAGAAGTTCGAGGCCCCGTTTTGCGGTGACCGTACGATACATAACAAACCTGCTGACTAAGACGGCTGCTTCACTCCCGAGTGTCTTTTTCCATGCTGGGCAGCCGGTTCGGGACGCAGAGTCTACGGGCCGAGAATAGCTCCGGTAATCACATTACGAGATGGGTACTAAGCGGTGAGCAGAAAGTGCGTCACTTGTATTTTTGATATTTTTTGTGTTATTAGCACAGGGGGATATATAAAAAAGGGGGGAAAGACGGTGAGATGACGACAGTAGCGAGGGCGATGGAGACGCGGAGGAGCAGAGCAGAGGCTGGGGAGTCGAATAGAGTCAGAGAGGAACGGTAGAGACATGTTTCATGTTCGGGGGATATGATGTAACGAGCGAAGAAAGCAGGAAAAGACGCCCTTGACCATGCAAGGACGGGACGAGCACGACGAAGAATGCCAGCGAAGCAGACGGAGAACGAAGAGGATCCTCCTCCTGCCTGTCGACCCTTGAACCCTGCCTGGCCTGCCTTGCCTTGCCTTGCCTTGCTGCTGAAGTTGGGTCTAGCCCATCGAAGCCAAGGAAGGTCGGAGAAGTTAGTTAACTAGCTGGTTAGTAAGTTAATGCCTGCTCTGTTGGCTTAGCAGAGATGATGAGATGGCGATAGACCAGCAAGAGACAAGAGGATTATCTCGCATCAACACGGTCTGCTTTGCTATCAAAGCCCCAATCTCCTTCTCACGGCTGTCACCACCAGAAAGAGTTGGCGATGCCCGCCCAAGAGGCGCTGTTACCGTTATATCACCCATGGAACAGAGTCTCCAGCCGTACGCTGGCTCACTGGCGAGGACGGGCTAGATGGGGAGACAACACATGCTGAGCAAAGTCAGACACCTCCGGCACATGGTTCTGGGAATTCGGCTTGAGGATCTTGTCGTCGGCGAAGTGCCGTCGTTCGGCAATGCCGCAAGGATTCCTAAGGAGAAGCAAAGCATATTCGAGTCCAGGTTGTCAACTAGTTCAACTCGAGATACAGCATGGGATTCAGATCATGCTGGTACTGTCTCTGATGGTGCAAAAAAAAAAAAAAAAAAAACGGACCGCCGCCACCGCTGTGAACAAGAGTCTCGCTCTTTTCTTTCTCGGCTGACAGGACTTGCTGCCTGCGATGCGCTCCCGTCTGGACCTCGTCGATCCATAGTAATCATCCTCGATTTCAGCTCTTCGGACAGGATGAGGATGTATGCTTGATCTCCAGTATTCTTCTGAAAGTATTGGACTCATCGCCTATATGTGGCTCTCTCAACCATAATGCCGGCCCAGTTGATGCCGATATGGGTATCAAACAGTGTAAACGGGGCGATACCATGGTCCTCGAGTATATCAGACACTCATACTCCATACATTTCTCACCGGGCTGGTTAACTAACCAGTGACTGCAAAAATTTGCTCTATGATACAGGTATTCTCCTTGAAGTCGGCCAGCATCTTGTTGAGACTTGAAGGTCCAAACCCAGTTACCAGTAGAGGCACATTAGCACCAGCATAAATAACTAATATTGCATCCGTATCTTGGAAGAAGCACACCGGTATGGGAGAGTAGCATGCAAGGAGTGATGCCTCTTTGGAACAAAAGTGCCATCATCCTGAAGGACTTTGGCCTTTTTCAATTCCAGGTAAAGTTCCTCCAGAAGGCCGAAATCAGCCTGGGACAACTGGTCTCGCTCAACCAAATGTCCAGGAACCATCTGGGTACAGGATGCTAGGTACTGTACTGAATCGAGCGTCAGGGGCTCCTTTGAGGCCGCATCCCGTTGCCACCCCCCGCTGTATCTCCTTTCTTGTTGAGCACCATGAACGTGGCACATGGAGTCCATTTACCCGATCAACACAGCTCTTATGGACGGCCTTGCAAATGGCAGTGATGCCCTTTAGAGTGACGGTCTTCCCCATTTTCCGAGGTGTCGTTGCCCGGCCCTGGTATCAATTTCGGGCAGTCTACCTCATATTCGAATCAAGCAATGTCTGTCTTTCGTACACATCAAGCGTTTGGATTTTGGAAAACTGCCCGCTCTGAGCATCAGTTCGGGGCTACCTGTGGCCAGGGATATCCAGAGCCACTTGATTAAAATCACAAATTAGTTGGTTAGGCAGCAATAGATGTCGTATGATACATATATCCGAAAAAGGGTTGAATCCAGAGGGTTTCTCAGAACGATGAAACTGATGGGATGTCCTTAGACAAACAGAACCGACTATCTGATGGCAGGCTACCAAGTTCAACGAAACATAATATAAGTTTAGACTATCCAAACTCGTCACCAGTTCTCCATATTTTTACTCCATCACACTGTGTGTTGGTGCCTGATTTCGACTAAGCCTGCTAATCGATGTTGATTAGGAGGAGGCATGAATTATCAAAGATGAGACTCCGCTGGGCCGAATCCTGTCACGAACTGAGAGTTAATACACACATCGGGAGGTATTTGTTTTAGAATATCCCCCTGGATGGCTCAAAGATAAGCGCCAGGGCTGCGGTTCTTTTTGCAGAAGGCTGAAAAAGCAGGTACTTTCTTTCCCCAAATTGAAATAAATCTTAAGCCATCTGTTCGGGGAATAGGTATTATCCAAGAGTTCAACGATAATGGCCCTTAACAAGGCTTGGTTAGGCACCACTAACCCAAGTCCATAGGGCTAACGTTTGATCCGGCGGCAAGGAGGCCGTATGTCCATGTACATCATAATAGACCGCGAACCTGGCCACAGGCACGGTATACTACCAGATTTTTGACGCGAACACCAGCCATGCAGATATCGCCTTGTCTCCTTTTTTTTCTCTCCCTCTTCTTTGTATCCTCAGGAATGAGCAAGTCCAGAGGCACATCCACCAGAAAGAGGATTGATACATAAGCAAACGTTAACTATCCACAGTGCCGCCTTCGCCTCGGATGTTTTCTCTGCGCGACGCCTGCTTTTGCCATCGGCGTCTGCCGATGTTTCGAGATGTGTCCGCGGACTGGGAACTCCGCGGCTCAAATAAAGTTGCTCCGTACAGCCGTCTTCTGGAGATGGGCATGTTGAAGAGTGGATTTGGATTTGAATTATTAATCTCTAGATGTCGTAGTGGCGAGCGAGTCGTAGCTGTGCCTGTCGCTGTGAGCTGTAGTTGTCGAGCGTTGACGTTGGACGTTGATATTGGCAAGAAGAGCAAAAGGGCGGTTTCTGGTTCTGCCGCGGCCCGCCGCCTCCCTTTTAGGCAAACCAGACTTCACCTCGTAAACCTCAACGCCAGCATCAACATCAAACCGCAACCTCGACATCGCCAGGCTCATCAGCCTCGCCAGCCCCGACTTCAGGTTCTCCGGATCGTCGCCACGTAGCTGCAGACAGAACGGCCATTATTGGGCCGAGGGAGGTCGACCAGGCGCCATGCATCGGTCTCTGGCGTCAAGCAGCCCGCTGACACGCCTGGGGCAACGCCCGGCAGGGCTGACGAGGAGCACAGAACGCCGACTTATCCATGAAGGCTGCTGATTTATTCATAGTAAAATGAGCTATCGAGGGATTAAAGAATCGTCTTCCGTCATCTCCGTGGACCCTAAGCAGCGCTGATTCGGCCCTAATGTCGCCTCATACCCCAGCTGAGCAAGCAACACGTTGAGTGTGTTTGCTCTTTTCCTGGATCTACCAGCATTCTCTCATCAGAAAACTTGGAATGATGTCATGCTAAGAATGCTCGTATTACGGTGTATGGTTATGTATGGGCTTCGTGTGCACGACGCATATTATATATGCATTACCCAGTCGAAAGCCTGTATTCCGCTGTATCCCGTTGTACCCGGTTGTCAAGGATACAACCCTGCGATCAGCCAAGTCGCACTTGGGCATTAACAGCCCCGCCCCAAGTCAACTCCCTTTCATCCTTTCTCCAGAGAGTTCAGTTCTTCCTCGTCTGCTCTCGTCTCACTGCTGCTATTCCCCTCTTTCAAAGCACTATTGATCAGGGTTTCCAGCCGAGGGATACCGCGTACTCTTCCCTGACTTCAGAGTACAAAATTCCCGGTTATCAACCAATATCCGCCCAATCCGGGCTCCATTTCTCCCAGAATGAGTCTCCGAGGAAGAGAGTACCACTACTACTACGAAGACGAAGAAGACGAAGAACTTGATACAATCTCACGGGCGTCTGAACCCCGATCTTCAAACGGTAGAAGTTACTATATTAAACGCTACGTCATTGCGCCCGACTCCCGTTCCCACCGAGACGATTCTGGAAGCGAGATCTTGCCCCGCCGCCTTAGTACGATGGACCGTCGCCAGGAGTATGAATATGTTGACATCGACCGCGAATGTAGGTCTTTTTTTA